TTCAGTAAGAGCCCTAAAAGAGGGCTCAAGAATGGTCTCAGAACCAGCATATGCACATAAAGAAATAGGGAAATAAGAAAAAAAAAAGAGTACAAAAAAGGGCAAGAGACAAAGAAAGCTGTAAAGAAGTATGCCTTGATGTGGTAAGATGTGCTATGAGGAAGGTTGGTTGACAAGTATTTAGGAAACTTGAGCTAGCTCAATAGTTGGTTCAACAACACTTGTGAGAGCTTAAAAAACAGTGGCTGGTGCTATATTAACTTCAAAAAATTTCATTGAAGAATTGCGTGAGGGATCTTCGAGCCTAGCCTCAAAGGAGAGTCCATCAGTCCTTTGATCAAGCCTTGGGAAGGCCTCAGGGCTGATGTAGGGGCTGGCTCTTCCTCTTGTTCTCCTATTTTAGAAATGGTGGGATGAACTTGATTAACCGCAAGTGTTTGCTCTTCCAAGATTTGTGCTTCAGCAACAGCCCCAGTTTCAACCCTTGAAGAGGAAGCACCATCTTGTCGACAGAACCTCTGTCAATTGAGCTAAAAGGCTGCACTATCACTACTCAAAGATTCAGAGCTAGAATGTTGGTAAGCTCTAACTTCATCATGGCTAAGGGAAACAGATTGCACAAGGGGAACAAGTATAGAAGATGGAGGAACAGAGTCTCTATAGGGACTACTGGTGTCCTCAGTTACCAGAAGCTTTCTCCTTTTTGGCTTAAAAAAAGGAAAAAGGGAAAAAAGAAAGGAGATTAAGTGGTAGGTTAAGTAAAGAAAAATAGGAGAAGGAAAAAGATTAACCTGAGGACTCTTGGCCTTCTTGGTAGATTTTGCAAGAAAGGAAATAATGGGAACATTGTTTTCGTCAGAAAAAAGGGGTTGTTTTGGAGGCATCATCATGAGTTGTTGTGGAGGGAGCAGCCTTATAAACTAGTGCTTGCTCTGCCAATGACAAGTCTTCAAAAACAAATCTATGTTCTTCAAGAGTGAGGTTGTCCACATCAAAATCTTGGCCAGTTTCTATGTTTGGACTAGTTTTGCTGGCCTTTTTTGAGGAAGCTGGTGCCTTGGAATGAGAGGGGTTCTGTTTGGCCTTCATCCTCTCAAATTCTGCATCATAGGCTTTTAAAGTAGAAGCCATGAGAGAGTCATCCAGGGGATTCCTTCTCCTTTTAGGCTTCTTGGCATAGACCTTGGGGGCTTTGTCCTTAACCTTACCAAAGGTCTTGGCTAACAGTGGAGGCAGTGAGTGGGAAATGTTAGCAGCATCAATCTCCCCTAGAGTATCAGCTATTGAAAAATGCATGACTGTAAGCATAAAGTAATGAGATCCAAGAAATAGCAGATAGGAAGGAAAAGAAAGAGAAGATGCATAACTTACAAATTTGGTTCTGTCGATAGAAAGGAGAAAGATAGGATAGGTATTCCTCAAGTGGTTTGTGGAATATGACAACATTGAGAATGGTCCACTAGTCTCTAAATCTGTTACTAATACTTGCATTGGCCACAAAGGCAAAGAAACTGGGCCTATGCAGAAGTTTCTGGTTTTTAGTCAAAATAGCATAGGCGGAAGGCTACTTAGTGAGTTGAACCCTGGTGTTCACATATTCATGTATGGTGGGATGAACATAGGGGAGAGGAATGCTTTGGATAAGACCAAGTTGTCTAGCCCATTGGCTAGGATTGTAACTTTAAAAACCACAGGTAGAGTGCTTGTTACTAGAAAGGGAACATCCAACCAAGATGCACCTAGGGGTGAGGCAAATGCTCCAAATTGTCTTTTGAGCCCACTTAAGGTCATCATTTCAAGTGGTAGGATCAGCATACATGTAAGACAAAGGAGGAGAAGAGAAGAGGGAGGATTGAAAAGGAAAGAAAGAATTCTATCGATGGTGAAGCTCAGAAAGGTGGAAAAATACTGAGCAAAAGTAACAGTAGGAGAAGGACAGTGGGAAAGAAAGAACTCAGCATAGGTTTCATACTTGGGTGTGTAGTCTATTCTTCTATTGGATCTAATCTATGGGAAGTAGGCAAGAAGCTAGGCTTGAAAAAGCCAAAAAGGGCCCCCTTCTCTATGGCTAATTCTTTTGTCATGAAGAGAGAAAAGGCCTCTATACATGGTGGCCAAGAGAAAGGGGGCAAAAGCTAGTTGTCTACCTTCTTGGATTAGGAGGGCAGGAGCAAGGTATTCCTTAGTGATCCTAAGGCCACCTACTTAAGAAAGAAATTGGCACAACCAGTGTGACGCCCCAAAAATTGAGAACATCAGAGAATATATTCACAAGTAAATACAGGGTTTATCTAAGTTTACAAGAGAAGGAAACATCACTAATGAGTCCTTCGGCTAATAACCAAGTAAGATCCAAGGAAGGTCGGAGGAGTTAATATAGCCTCTATTTTAAGTCCAACCACCTTAGATAGCAAAGCTACCTTTTTGACAAATCTTGGCGTGTATTAACACAAGGCCTGCATGAGTTACCAGAGTATAAGGATAGGTTACAAATGATATATATAATAATTACAAATTATGTCTTAAATACAACATGCGATTAATCACTTACAATCTCAAACGTGTTACAAAACTAGTTCCTAACTCTTATAGGATAACCATACGTCTTCAAATACTTCAACTTTTCCTTTGACCAGCTATGGACACCCCATTTTGACCGCCCTTAAGACTTGGGCACCTCACTCTAAATACTTGATGATGAAATGTTACGATGTGCAATCGTTCGATTTCTTCAGCAAAATAATTCAGTTTCAATCTTTAAAACCTAAACCTTGCACCCTCTTTGAACTAAAACCTTATATTTTCTGGCTTGACCGCTCAGAAAACTACTGACCAACAGATGGCCGGCAGGCCATTTTCATTGGACCGGCCATACCTCTTCATGGTCGGCAGGCCATGTCTGCTGACAGCAAATATTTTACAGCAGCCAGCTATCCCCATGTTCATGCTTTGCACCAGCTATCTCTTTATAGATATTTCCGACGTAAGATGTTGTTTTTTTATAAATACAATACCTCCCCTCATGATTTGGGGTTGGAAAAATTTGCCAAAGAGCCATAGCTTCTCCAACACACTTCCCTCATCTCTTGCAATATACATACACTATACATACACATTATATGCTTGAACTTGAGGCTTTTGCTGATAGGTTACAAATGATATATATAATAATTACAAATTATGTCTTAAATACAACATGCGATTAATCACTTACAATCTCAAACGTGTTACAAAACTAGTTCCTAACTCTTATAGGATAACCATACGTCTTCAAATACTTCAACTTTTCCTTTGACCAGCTATGGACACCCCATTTTGACCGCCCTTAAGACTTGGGCACCTCACTCTAAATACTTGATGATGAAATGTTACGATGTGCAATCGTTCGATTTCTTCAGCAAAATAATTCAGTTTCAATCTTTAAAACCTAAACCTTGCACCCTCTTTGAACTAAAACCTTATATTTTCTGGCTTGACCGCTCAGAAAACTACTGACCAACAGATGGCCGGCAGGCCATTTTCATTGGACCGGCCATACCTCTTCATGGTCGGCAGGCCATGTCTGCTGACAGCAAATATTTTACAGCAGCCAGCTATCCCCATGTTCATGCTTTGCACCAGCTATCTCTTTATAGATATTTCCGACGTGAGATGTTGTTTTTTTATAAATACAATACCTCCCCTCATGGTTTGGGGTTGGAAAAATTTGCCAAAGAGCCATAGCTTCTCCAACACACTTCCCTCATCTCTTGCAATATACATACACTATACATACACGTTATATGCTTGAACTTGAGGCTTTTGCTGAGGTTTTTTAACACAATTTCAGCTCCTTGAGAGTGTCTAGCTTGTGGTTTGTTAACTAGGAAGCTCTTCCTCTCTTTCAAGGGGTAATCTTTCAACTCTTTCACCATCATTTCTCTCTCTCCTTTTTTTTTGTGTATTTTCTTGCTGTTTTCAGAGTGTTTTGAGGCCTAAAATATGTGATTTAAAGTCACAAAAGAAGGAGGGGTTTGCCACCCTACTTTGGGCCTTGTTCCATAGCTTGTTGCTTTATCTTTTCTACTTTGTTTCTTTTGATTTTGGCCACTATATTTTGAGATTAGAGATTGTTTTAAGTGTTTATTCAATTTATGCTTTGAATATTATACTTGTGTTGTTGTAAGTCCTCATGGGTTTGATGTATAGGCCATAGCTTCCAATCCATTTGAGTTAACACTACAACAAAATTGACTTTTTACGACACTACATCAACGGCATACAATAAATGCACGTCGTAGTTTCTCACTTTTACGACTTGCTTTTTTTGCACGTCATAAATAATCTTCGAACCACGGCATGTCTATTGCGTAGGTCGTAATTGGTAATAACGATGATTTTTTTACGGCTTCCAATGCATGCTATAAATAATAATACTTTCTACGACGTGCATATGGCGTGTCGTTAATACATCAATTATACACGATGCACATACGCTAATCGTGAAAAGTGAATACTTTTCACAGGGCACACAACATCCGCTGTTAAAAGTATTGCATTTTTTACGACGCATATATCGTCTGCTGTTAAAAGTATTGCCTTTTTACGATGCACAATACATGTCGTGAATTGTATGATAATAAATATAAAAAAAAGCGCCAAAATGAAATTTAGGGCGCCAATCACCAAAAAGAAAATATTAGAAATTTTTTTCCCCCAAAATAACTATTTTGCCTTCCTCTAATCAGAATGAAACATTACAAGGGCTTCAATCTCTCTCTCTCACAATCGCTGCCACTAGTTCTCTGACCGGCGCTGCCATTGTTGTTGATTCACTCACTTCTGTAACTTACTTTCCCTCACCACCATTGCTCTCTCTCTCAATTTCTAAACCCTAACTTATTTGAAAATAAGAGTGCCCTGCTATTTTTTTTGGAAAAAATTTCGTCAGTTCCTAAACTTTCAAGGAAACCTCTTCTAATTATTCTTTCATTCTTTGATCATTAACAATTTAATAAGAAATGGAACGGAAACATGATGGGTTAGAGAGAGAGTTTGCCTTCTCTCTAGAAACTACCTTAGTTTCTAGGGTTTATTCATTCAATATTTCGTTGATGATGGCTGATTACTCATCTGATTTACACGACTTAGATACGATGGGTGATAAACTAGTGATTGAAGGTACTACTACAACTAAGGGGAGTTCGCACATCTTGAAGGATAGTCTTTCGGATAGTGATTTGTTAATTTTGATGGACATTGCGAAGAGAAATGGGGGTAAGAAACATTGTTCTGCATCTGATATCGAGATGGGAAGGAGCCCTAAGGCTTCGATTGGGGTTGAGTCTGAGATCCCTAGTCCAAGTTCTTTTGTTGACGCTATAGGTGGTCTCTGCTCTGATATTTGAGAGATGAATGTTATTCAGCTCCTCATTAAAACAACAGGTATTTACTTTTCTCTCAAGATTTTTCCAGAGTTGTTATATAACAGATATCATAGTATTGTGAAAAAGAGATGTCTAATGGTTTGATAAATTTGAGTGATTGATTAATGCAACAGACTCATAAGGATTCAGATTGATTAATTGTTTAACCCTTTTCTTTGGTTTGCTTCGGATGGTTTTGTGGATCTTGTTGGCTATTGGGCATAGTTTATGGGTTTTGTTGACTTTGGTTGTGTACATATGTAGATGAATTGTGTTAATTTTTTGTTTGTACATTCTGGAATATATACCCCATTTTGAGGTATTATATTCAAGATATGATATTTTGTGGTGGTAATATAATTTTGGTAGTCTTGATTTTGTTCCGGCATAGAGAATTGAAAGAATCTCACATTAGAAATTATAAAATTATTTGTATTTTCTCTAAATCTCAGGAAAGGTTAGTATAAGCTACCGAAAACAAATTTGTGTTTGCAAAGGAGAACAAGTTGAAAGGAGTAAAGTCACAATCTCTGAATACCAAACCAAACCAAACGAAGCCTTAAGTCCCATCAAATGGGGTCGGCTACATGAATCCTTCTTCTCCACGCGGCCCTATCAAAGGCCATTTCATTGGTCAAATTAAGTAGATTCATATCTCTATTTATAACGCTAGTCAACGTTAATCTAGGCCTACCTCGTCCCCTAACACTTCCATCTACCGTTACAGCATCGCATCTCTTCACTACTGCCTCTGTTGGTCTCCGTTGAATATGACCAAACCATCTCAAACGATTCTCTCTTAACTTATCTTCTATCGGTGCTACTCCTACCCATTCCCGAATACACTCATTCCTAATCCTGTCCTGTCTAGTCTTACCACACATCTACCTTAGCATCCTCATCTCAGCCACACTCATCTTATCTACATGTTGTTTCTTAGTTGCCCAACACTCCGTCCCATACAACATAGCTGGTCTAATAGCCGTTCTATAAACCTTACCTTTGAGTCTAGTAGGTATTCGTTTATCGCACAATACCCCAGAGGCACTTCTCCACTTACACCATCCCGCCTTAATCCTATGGGTCACATCTGCATCAATCTCTCCCGCTGTTGTGATAATTGACCCTAAATAACGAAAATGTTCACTCTTAGGCAGTTCTTGGTTCTCAATCTTCACTTCTCCTCTACTTTCATTGTTACTGTTACTAAATTTACACTCCATGTACTCCCAACCGTAGGATTTGACAAGTGCAGCGCAATAGTAGAAAACCCGCTGCAGATGAACGGCCTCCCAATCAGCGTGTACGCGCCGGAGACAGTGGGATGCGTGGTGGTGGACGGGGAAGGGCGGTGTGCGGCAGCGACTTCCACCAGCGGGCTGATGAACAAGATGAGCGGTCGCATCGGCGATTCCCCGCTTATAGGAGCAGGGACTTACGCGTGTGAAGTGTGTGGCGTGTCGTGCACGGGCGAGGGGGAGGCCATCATACGCGGGACACTGGCACGTGACGTGGCGGCGGTGATGGAGTACAAGGGTTTGGGCCTCCAGGAGGCGGTGGACTACTAGAGTTGAGCTCCTCTGTTATTAGTGTGTTTTGTGAAGAAAATCCATGGTGGGTTTTGGAAGTTCAGCTTCTGTTTTGTTAATGGTCTTTTTTTTTTTGTGTTTGTGTGTGTGTTTTTTTTTTGTGTTTTTGTTTTTCCTTCTCTTCTCCTAGTGTCAATGTTGAATGAATTGAAGGTTGGATTGGATGAATGATTTTCATTACATTGTTGTGTTGATGCTAGTTTAGGTGTTTGAGGTAATGAAAAAGTAAGAGGAGACGAGGCTGACATAATTGACTACAAAAGGGGCAGAATTTAAAGCTATCCAATTGAAGCTGAAACTGTATGATTGCCATTTCTCTATCAATTTTTTATTGAATTCTATGCATTTCGGCAATTCATAGTGCCCCGTGAGAAATAAAATGGAAAGGGAAGTAACTTGATCTGCCTTAGTTTCATGCAATTATGAAATTGGTAAGCTGACTTCTTTACATTGGTTCTATTGGGTCTAAATTTAATCCACACACCATACCAGCTTGGGTTACTAAGGGATATTCAGAGGAGAGGAGATTGATGAATCAATCCCATTTGGCAATCCTCAAAAGCATAGACATTACAAAGAGAGTAGTAGCCAGAATGGTTGGTTGCACCTCTGTGGCTCACCAAATTAGGCTTTCCAACAGCTCAAACATTACCCAATTGACTAAAAACTAGCTCAGAGGAAACAAACTTAGCTATCACTCTCAGAAGCTCTAGAGTCCACAAGGCAAAGATATTTTTGATGAGTTAAAAAAATGATATTTTTCTCTTTTTTTTTGGTTCTTCTCAAGATATGAAAATTTGTTTTTTGAACCAGATGCAAATTAAAGGCTGGTAACCACGAATGAGAGTAAAATTATTTTGATACGTAACAATGAATTACCTTTGCCTAAGGCAGTTCTAAAAAAAAATTATTATGTTGGGATGTTGGAATATACTTCAAAGTCAAAGGGAAATTAGCATTACTTGAATTCGGAACTTAATCCTCCATTTTCCATACCAACCATGCAAAGTATTGGGCTCTTGAGGGTGAGATATTGTTCCAGATTAAATTCTGAACTTTAGACACAAAGTTATCATTTTCTTCACACCATCTGTACGACCCCATGTTATGCTAGATGGTTGACCAAAAGTGATAACGTGCTTTCTCACCAAAGATAAATTAAGGAAATCAATAGTTAGTTGCATTCGTAAGCGGAATCATAAACATGTGGATACTTCATCTTATTTGTTTGTATGCTCTTTATTATCTAAGAACCACAAAATATTATCATTATATTTATAAAAATAAAAAAAATAAAACAACAACAACAACAACAACAACAACAACAACTAAATAATGGTTACAAAAGGCTTCACTATGTACTAGGTGCATGTGCTCTATGTGCTGACTTGAACTCCAAACAAAACTTAAGATTTACTTGGGGCTTGTAGCCAATAGTTAAACCAAATATTGGAATCCAACATTTCTATTTATTTCTTTGCTTTAAACTTTGACTATTTAAAATCTAAGTTCTTTTTGAATTTTTTTTTTCCAGAATATAATTCTTTTTGGTTTTCCTTTGGGATCTTTGTATGTTTACTTGTGATAAGATCAATTATTTATGTGATGAGATCAACTCTTAATTTGTGGAGATTTGGCAATGAAGATAAGGTGTTATTGAAGAAAATAGTTTGTGGTAAGTACAATCTCCAAGGGAACAGGTGATACCCACTTGTTGAGGGATCTGATGCCCATTCTACGATCTGGAGGGACATCCTATCTATGGGGAGCTTAAGACCTGAACTTTATAATTTTTTTTTTTTTTGGAGTAATACTCAAGTACAGATTGGAAATAGTGCTAGGACTTTGTTTTGAAAAGATAAATGGATTGGATATAGGTGTCTAAAGGAGGTGTTTCCAAGGTTGTGTAGACTTTCAATTGATAGGCACAAATTAGTAAAGGAGGTACTGAACCTTAGAAGTGATTTACCTGATTGGCTACAGGGCTTCTGTAGAGAGTTGAGGGATTGAGAAAAAGCGGATATGGTCAGTATAATTAACATGTTACTCTCTGCTTGTGCACGTAGATCTGATAAGGGGGATGCTTTATATTGGAGGGTAGAAAACTCTAGTTGTTCAAGAGTCAATGGACCAAGAAATAGCTTGTGATTGAATTAGATACTGGTGAATTATTTTGGCAGCTTTTTGCTTTATTGAACATGCAAACAGTTTGAATTAGATACTAGTGAATTATTTTAATAGTTTGATTTTCTTGCTTTATTGAACCTTTGCCTAAAGACAACTCCTGCCCAGAATGGTCTGTACACATTCTGAGGTAAAACCAATGCAACCTTTTGTCAATTTTTTTCCATAAATTTATATAAACAAAATATTATTACACAAGTAATCATAATCATATACTACATTTAGAAGTTTAAATTCTCAATCTCTTTTCATATGGAATGATTTACTTACTGTTTGAGAATGTCCTTGAGTACAGTACTCTACCCAGCTCCCATCCCACCACCCATGAGCAAGAGGATCAACTCCTATCTTTGTGGTCCACAGGAGCCATCACGTTCGTACATTCTGAATCATCGACTAGTGTGATTCCAATGGCTTTCAGTTCCTCCAACAATGTATTGAATACTCTTGCCACCTTTGCTTCTTCGTTACCCTTGCAAATCTCTGTTCCCTATCTCGACATACAGAAAAGCATAAAACAAATTGCTAATGTACAGTCGTTTTTCTTTTCTAAAATGATTGATGGCCAACAAGGAAAATTTGAATATTTTCTAAAATGATTGATGGCCAACTGTTATTTGTTTTGTGATTTCTTTTGAGCATAAATTACTTTCCTGTGAATGAAGAAGCAACAATTTATTTTTTAAAGTAACATATAGAGTTCATTTTACTTTCCTGTGTTGTTAGTTAAGAATAAAATTATACTTTTCTTTCACTGTTAAATTATTGTGGAAATTCATTATTTTTTTACTTTCTTAATACATGAGAGAATCATAGGCTGTAATTATTCATTTAATACTTAACATTTTTGACTTACCATTACTCCATTAGGAGCCCTCAGTAGTAGCTTTTGGTTGGAGTCTCTATTTTGGGATTTCTCAATCTTTCTCCATGATGGATGTATCCTATATTAGGTACAGAAGTTAGCTCAACTTTTTGTGTTTGGTTCAACTCTGATTAACTGAGTTGGTAATTTGATCAGCCATACGCTCCACAATTAACTCCATTTGGTGGAAGTAGCATGTGTTTGAGTATGTGAGAGCTTAAGCTTCTAGAAGAATAGCATAAGGCTATGCTTGAATGCTTTGTAGTATGAATGACATGTCAGAATATTAGAATATTTGCATAAAAAAGATGCTAGGGATTGCACTTAGCAATTGGGATGTTTTCACTGGTAAAAAGGTCTCGTCTAAAGGTCTCAATCTCATGGGCCAGAGTTCTACCGAGTATATTTTCCAATAATCTGTTATTATTTGTTACTCATAATTTGATTGGTTCATATAACTTGATTAATGACCTTCTTGAGCTTTATTAGGAGGTAGATTTGGGGAAGCCAATCCAACTGGTATCATGTTCTATAACAAAATCATTGACAATCTTTTGCTCAAAGGTACTGTCACATGCCAAGGCTGCGAAGCTCTACCATGAGCATTTTCAGGTAATTAAAGTGAAAGCACTCTTAATTATAGTTGCACATTCTATTTGATAATTTGATTGATGAAACCGATGTTGGTGCAGCCAAAACACGGTGGATTCATAGGTGTGGGAGGGCAGAGTCAGAAGTGTACGCTTCGAAGGATGGACATTTATTCGGCTCTAATCTGCACGATTAGGAGGCCGATTACAATTAACAGGCCAAGTAACTATGGGGCCGAATAAATAAGTAGTTTGAGAGCAGAAAGTGGACCAGGCCCTGAGTACCTGTAAACGAGTATAAATAGAGGAACAACAGTCAAAGAAAGGGACGTGAGAACTATGAAGCTTAACTTAGAATATAAGTAATCTTGAGTGTAGAGACTGACTTGCCCGTCGGAGTGCTAATTCCGGCACCCCCGACCAGAGTGTTTATTCCTTTTCAGGTGACCAGAAGAGGATCAATAGCGTCCCCCAGGATAAGAAGAGTATTTCCAAACCACATCCCCACAATTGGTGCCGTCTATGAGAATACTCAAACACATCCATGGCGAGCGTAACGGAAGACCCTCCGATAGTCACTGATGAAAACACGCAGAGAGACGACGTCACCCCAACAAACATGCTTGGATCGGTGACTATCCCTGCAAGACATGCTTTGAACTTCGCCTCACCCTCGACCCCAGAGCATGAGGCAATGCAGGTGATCATGGAACAAGCAAAGAAAAACGAACAGAGGTTGGAGAACAAGATCGCAGAGAACAAACGTCTTCGTCAGGATTTGGCCTTGGAAGTGGCAAAGTCCAAACAAGTTGTACACCAAGATTCGGAACGAGCGGTGAGAGTAGATGGTCGATGATCTCGAGCCCGACAACAAGACACTGATAGCGACTCTGACTCATTATCCCTTGAGCCCAAGAAGAAGGGACGATCTGAAACTTCCAGTGTGGTTATGTCTGAAACCCAACACCTTCGTTCTTCAAGTGGCCATCGAAAATGTTAGGACCTCCCGATACGAGAAGACGCGATAGACAGTGTGAGTATCACAAGGACCATGACCATGATACTGAGAGTCGTTATGCACTGAAGGATCACCTGGAGGACGCCTACAATAGTACATCCGAAAAAGCAACCCAACCAAAGCAATAACCTTAAGACAGGATTCACCTCCGCTCGGTGTGATCCACATGATATACAGCCTGCCAATGTCATCGGCGGTGCATACGATTCAGTCGAAGCTCGACCTTCAAAGTCAACTCACTTCGGCTAAACAACCCTATGAAGCTGCAAGCATTTCTTTTGATGATTCAGATCTGGCCAGAGTGACACTCCCTCACATCGAT